CTTTCCACCATTTACTAGAGGACAATAGGCCACAGTTATGTCTTCTGTCTAGTCACTAAAAAAAAAAACAACAACTGTGAAGCTGTATACAAGAATTGGACAGAGTAGACTGTATTTCTTGAGGAACTTTAGGTACTTTAGTGTCTGTTGTGAAGTAACATCCATCATCTTTTAGGATGAGCTCTTGTACCATCATCTGTTAGGTTGCAGCTTCGGAGCAATTAACAAAAAGTCAGGAAGCTATTAGAGCATGATCTTTGTGTTCCTCATGAAGAACATTGTGGAAAACCTTCCTCATCACACTGTTGTACAAAAACAGAGTGGCCTCAGTCAGAGGCTGCTCCTGTAAGATAAAAAATCCCATAGAAGATCAATCCTGTTGAAAGCCATCAACATTTACAACTCGCTGAAGGAAACCCTATGAGTTCAAATTTTTAATTTTCTCTTTGAGTTAAAATATTTTAGAATTGAATTGAAATTAATTTAATAAAGGTTTTCATTTGAATCTTGGAGTTCTAAATACAGACCCTTACCTAAATAGAAAGCTTAAGGCTTTGCATCCTTTTATGCATATCAGCATAAAAAGTAAATTCTCTGAGCATATATTTAAAATAAATTAGCAGTTGGGCTGTTATCTATTTAGTTTCAGCACCAAGGTTTTTTGTCAGGTTCTGGGCTCTCAATGTCAATGCCAGTTACAAACATTATTAAGTGGTTAATCTTGATAAAAAGTAAAATCTTACACATGAGAAATGTTGGGCAAACTGGCAAATGTGTTTGGGGGAATAGAAGCAAGCTTTGTCCTCACAAGCAACCTGAAACAAAAACAATAAATATCAGCTTTTATCATCACTAGCCTATCTTTAATACAAAGTTTAAATACTTACACCTCCTCTATAGAGCCATGGAAAAAAGGCACAACTTCAACTCCAGAACATGACACCCTCTTGGATTCCCAGTCGCACTTGCAATGTTGCGGACAGTCTTCGAGAGAAAAAGAAAGTCCAGTGAGTAGGAAAATAAAAAAAAAGATTTTAAAGTCAATCTTCATTTCAAAGGTTTTGATGAACTCAAAAAAGCCCCCTGACAAGTACTAAACTGAGGGACTTCACAAAAGAAAGGGCATTCCAAACCAGCACTCAAGATGTAGCCCTTCAAAATAAAATGTCCTGTTCATATCTTAAAAATAAAATTATCCTTGTCTTAAATAAGATTTCTGGTCAATTTTCTGTTAAACAGAGTATTACAAACAGTAAATATTAAGTAATGGTAATATTAGCACTATACATTTTTTTTTGTTGATGCCTTTACTCTAATTGCTTTATATTCTTTTGAAATAGATGTTTTTTCCTATGTCTCATATATTTGTCCAAAAAAGGATTCAGCAAAGACAATGACAATGGAAGCAAGTGCAAAATAAGACAACAAATTATGTATTTTACATCATGAGGAGAGCTGGTTCCAACAATTATTATTATTATTATTTTTTTTTTTTT